TGTTGGGGGCGATATGCTGACTCTGTAAACCGCTTAGAGAGGGCTGAAAGCCCTATGAAGCGGTATATAAAAATCTGCTATTGCTATTGCTAGATGGTTTGCCAAAGAAATTTGGCCTTTGGGAGGAATTAGTATACAGTTAATGTAAAAGGAATGCGTCAGAAAAAATATCCCTTTTGGGGTGCTCCTTCTCTCTAGTAAAGACCTCTGAGTAACCTCTGCATGCAATGGTAATAAAAATATTTCCTTTTATTAGTGGCAAAATACTCTCTCTCATTCTCGTACACACACACATACACACACACACAGGCATTGGAACTATGCCTGAATATTTAATATACATCATCTAAGGAAAGGTCACCTGTACCCACTGGGCTTAAAAGGTTGAAACAGTGGAAGCGGGGATTCTTGGCACTTGTTCTTTTAGAAAACAAGCAATAACGAGATCAAAGATATAAAAAAAAAGGTTTGTTTAACATGATGTTAAAAGCGGGGTGGCGGTGTTCAACTTTATCTGGATTCATGGGAAACATTTGGAAATCTGCCTCTGAAAGAAAGAGGGAAGTATACGTAGGGATGAATTAAGGATTGATTCTTAGAGCAAGTTCACACATTCAGGTGCCAGTTGTGAAGCGTGAAATGCTCGGGTGTAAAAATGCGATTTGTGCATGGGAAGCAGTCGAGGGAAGGAAAGGATCATAAATCACGAAGAGAAAACTATAATTAAATCAATGCTGATTGACCAAAATGAGGAACATACCTAGATTTAAAGCTAATACCACCTTACAATCTCTTTAAAATATTTGTTTGTTCATAGACTTTAAAGACTGCAAAATTCTGAAGGGGGGAACAACTAGACAGGGATTCAATCACTGGGGGGATGGGGGTGGTGGAACCAAGGCTTTCTTCCATAATCAAAGCCTACTTCTATTGTCATTGGATGACTACCATGTTCACAGGTCTAATCTGTGGAAAGCTCAGGTGCTCGAAAACTTTCAGGCGTGAACTTCAAAATATTATTTTGTGCTGGACTCAGAGATACCCCGCAGAAGCTGTTATTTCATAGCGCCTGTGCAGATCCTTAAATCTTCCATGGATATAGACTCAACATGGTCAACTCATTACCCAAGGTAGATCTGGCTCTTGATCAGTGAGAGATTGATCTTTGTGTGATCAGTGAGGTATTCACCTCAAAAAAAAATATATAAATGGGAATTTAGAGCCGAGGTGGTGCAGTGGTTAAATGCAGCACTGCAGGCTACTTCAGCTGACTGCAGTTCTGCAGTTCGGCTGTTCAAATCTCACCGG